TCCAAACTATTCATTTGTCTACTTGACCCGTTTGATTCTCAATAATTTGTCCATTTTCATCAATTTTGTGATTGTGTATGTGTTCCAAACAACATCTAGCCGAAATTAAGTGTGTTTGTGTGTGAGTATGTGTCGCAGAACACCCCGCTATGTTCGTGATAAGGATTGTTTTTGGTTTAAATTTGATTGAATACTTGAATGAAATCATTTTTAGAGATTTGTTTTTCTTTCTTTGTCTTCCTTAAGTTTAAGTTTCATTTATTTAGAGGATTTTCTTTATTCACTCAGATATTTCACGGCGAAATTCGCGTTTTTTTTTCTTGCTTGTCTGGATGAACACAACTTTGTTATTATTTTTTTTTATTCATTTAAATTTAATTTTCTTGCTTGGTTTGATTTTCTTTGTCACCTTAAACGTTATAAATGCTATAGTGTTTAAACCGTTTTGTTTGTTTTGTGAGTAGTTTGAACGAAAACCAAAAGCCGAACAGAAATTATGAAGAAAAACTCTATTTTGTACTTGTTTAGACAAATTTGTATGAAGAAAAATTCGGTAAACGAAAAAAAAGAGATAACTCAAAGTTAGTGTGACTATTATAGACATATTTTGCAAATTGAATGGATTCATATGGAGAGGGAAAGAGACCGGAATTCGAAAGTGAGAAGAGGGGGACAGAAAACATAAGAAGAAGAAGTATTAGTGTAGTAATAGTAGTAGCAAAAAAAAAACAAATATGATTGATGCGACCGCGATTTTATGTGTTTCTTATAAATGAAATTGGTCGAGTTGATGATTGTTCGCATTTTAAATGCAACAGTTAGTTAGTAATGGAATCACAAATCACTTTTTTTCACCTGCGATATATTTTTTTTCTCTTTAAATTTATTATATGATGTGTCATATTTCGGCATTTGTTTGGTTTTGTTTTCTTGTCTTATTCGAACTTGATCGGTTCATTTATTTATAATTTATCGACTTCTTCATTTGTATACACAAATTCTTTGGGATTCTGCAAACGCTGGACTGATTCTCTCATGTTTTGAGTGCGATTCGATTTTAGTTCATTTTGAATGAGATGACACCGGGTGGAACTATGAAACACATGCATGGAATATTTAATCCCATGGCATGTCCAAGCCAAACAGTCGAGGATCAAGAGCAGCTCGATCAAGAGACGAATGAATTCATTTATGCCGAAAACTACCGACTGACGGTAACAATGTCTAGTTTTCAGGGGCCAAGTGCCTAGTTTGAAAGACAGATTGAATTTTGCATGGCTGAATGTATGCTTGAAGCAAGAAAGATGCAATTTTCAAAGATTCCATGCCATCTTAAGGCCAGAATCGTCTCTCTGATTATTAAAACATCTTTTTGATCCATAAAATACCTATTTGATCGACCAGGTGTCCCTTTTGAAACCAAAGTTACAACGTTGAAATGCTTCTTTGACCAAAAATGGCTGCTTCTACCAAAAATATTCCCTTTTTGAATGGCAACAATGCTGAATATACCCAAAATTGGTCGAAATACAGGCAAACGGTTTGAATATGATCAATCAAATGATCCATTGAGTGTCAATTGTACGATGAAATTGTTCTGTATGCTCATGAAAACCCATTTAAGAGTAAAAAAAGATCGAGTTTGATCTCATTAGAATCAAAAAAGTACTGCCCTGTCCATTGTTTCTAAAATCCAATTTGTTGTATACAAACGTTAGTTGCGCGTTACATTTGCGTGCGATTGAACGAGACTTGTTAAAGATATAATGATAATCAAATCACAAAGTTCGGATAACTCTTATGGTTTTGTTCTGTTTTCTTTGTGCAAATACGTTATCATTGAATCGTTTATATTATGTTTTTGTGTAAAATGTAAAGTTCGTTTAGGAAAAAGAAAGACCAACATAACCGAATGGTTCGTCTAAAGATTTTGGACCAAGAAACCGTGGTGATACTATTGCACGAATCGAAAGTGTCATGCTTGAAAACTGAATTGTGAATGAATATTTGGAAAGAAATCTTGTTGAGGTTGAATGGCATGTGGTGATTGCACGCCGCCTCGTCAAATTGACATTTATATGAAAGAAAACAAAAAATGAGATTATTTCATAATAAAAAAGTTGTTCCTTCCGTTGCACACACACGTGATGTTTAAATATGGAATTATTGAAATGTGTAAATAGTTTCGTTTGTTTCATTTAATTCGCAAATACAAATGACTGAACAAATGTAGCTACCGTATGTTGTGGTTTTGGTGGTGGTTGATTCAAGTGGGCGACCGATTTATAAAGTCATTTGTTTTGGATTTCGTGTGTGTGTGTGTGTTGGTTGAGTGTTTTTCTCTCATTTGTTGTTGTTGTTATTGGTTGCAATTTGTTTGTTCAGTTGTTAAATCGTGTATTTTATAAAATACATTCACTACTTATTGAATAGAATTTTTTCTATTTCCATTTTTCATTAGTTTTTTTTCTCTTAAATTTTGTTGTTGGCTGTTTGTTTTCATTAGTTTTTTTTATCATTATTTCAAGTACTAAATAAGAAATACAAAATTTGTTATAATTTATTCTTCTAAATTTATGCTCCTCGTTTTTTTTGTTGCTTCAATTTCATTTTTAGTTATTTTTTTTTTAAATTCAATATTACATTAGTTTAAACTATTGAGGCTCAGTCACAAACAGAGGCGACATTCGAACATCCATTGCTGTTGTTATTGTTTCATGTTGCGATATTTGATGAACGAAATTTGTTGTTTGTTGTTGTTGTTTTGTATGTTTTTGTTGCACGGTTTCATAAAAAAGTAGAAGTATGTGAGTGTGTAATGTCTTTTTTTTTCTTTTTTCTTCTGTGTTACTATATATGGCCAACCACGCCTCATATGAATTTGCACCCGTTGTGATTCTGACCTTGAATTTTCTTCTTTTTTTTTACTCAATTTTGTTGTTTTGTTTTCAATGTTATCATTATTATTTGGTTTCATTTTATCTAAAAATGCTATACTCGAAGTGCTATAATTATATGTGCCCTAGCGTTTAGTCGGCGATAAATGCGACCGAATGGGTCTCCAGAGGTGGTTTTAGACAACGAATGATTACGTATTAAAAAAAATGGTTTTGGCTCACATTTTTTTTCTCTTCGTATTCGAAAAACCACATCATTTCAACACCACAATTCACTGTCAAACTCCAACAATCAAAGCACACACATTCAATCGCAAATATTGCTGGCTTTTAAATCGTGTTTGTGTGTGTGTGTTTTTTTGTTCCATTTTTTTTTCTCTCATGTTCATCATCAGCGATGCTGGCTATTTTTTTCATCTTTTTTTTCATTTCTTTTTTCATCTTGCTTTTGCCATCGTTACCATCAATTTCGATTATAAATTTGCTGCAATTATCGACCGATGAGGCTGACATTTTGAAGTAGCAAAATATGTTTGTCGAATTTCTACGTTTTTGGATTGACTTGTTACCGCTACATTTTCACATGTTGCTGTTACTGTTGTTTGTCATTTGCTGTCTGTTGCTCTTGTTTTTAACGTGTGTATGTGTGTGTGTTTTCTTCTTCTTTTGTGGATGAGATGACAGATGATTAGATTGTTTTATATCCCCTAAATCGTTAGTATCGAAAAATTCTTGAGATTTGAAGAATGAACTAAAAATTTCAACCGATTTTGTGTGTTTTTTTTTCCTCTTTTGGTTTCAAAATTATTGGTCTTTTTTTTTACTTATACTGCAACCGAACCTCATAAAACCAAAAGAATAATATTTATCTCTCTTCCGTTTGTTTTTCTCTCTTTTCTTCTTCTCATTTTAAACAGTTCAGTGTGATTGTTTAGTAAAGTCTATCGTATGAAATAGTTTTGGTTTGGTTTCCCATTGAGGTTTGCATAAATTCCCAATCAAATTGTCGGTGAAGCAACGAACCAAATTGTGACCACACAAACACACACACATACTCATGATGAAACACAAGAAAATCAAAATAAAAACAAAAATCAATGAAATCAACGAAAAAAAAAGAATCACATGAATGACTATTAGCATTTCTGTTTACGATTATAGCTTTATTTTCTCAACGAGCCGAACAATTTATTTGTTGCACTATTTCTTTTTCTGCTTCCGATTACATTTTTTGGTTTTAAACTAATTTTTTTTGTAAACCCTTTTTTGATATCAACAACAAAATGTCGATTCGCTCAATTTAGGAGATTTAATTGAGTGAATAAGATTTTGGGACATCGAGGCCAAATGTGGCTGTGAATTGAATGGATGTAATTCTAATTCTAATTATTGGCGGTTTGCGTTTCGATATTTGTCATCGTGTCCTGTGTGCATGAGGAGAATGAAGTAAATTCTACCTCGACTCCGGTTGTCAAGAGCGTCAGGAGTGACATGAAAATTGATTCTCTATGTACTCTGTGAAGGAATGTTCGATTAGAGGTTAAAGCCCACTCGATTTGCAAAGGAAAAAGAGCCGATGCCAATTTTTTGAACATGCAAAGGGAGCCGATTTGTGGCCCATTTGCTTGTTCGAAAAGGACATTTTTTTTTAAATTGTTGGAAAAGGAGCCCGTTTTTTTCTCTTTCGGAAAAGACAAATTCAAGTCATCGTTGCAGTGAAAAGAAATTCAAGCATTTTTTCCTCTTCATTCCTTTTGAATCCATATGGAATATGGAATGAAAAGAATACATTGTGGGAGACTTCTCGAATTTCTTTTCCAAAGCTTCATTCGAACCATTAGCCAGCATTGTTTTGCATTCAGCTTTATGCCCCCAGAGTACAAATGGAAAACAACGGGAAAAAAATTGTGCTCAAACGGATGTTTTGTTGTTGTTTTTTTTCTTGCGGTCGACTGCGATGAAGCCGTGCTTAATATTTTTTGAATAAAACCACTAAAAAGATTATATTTTTCAAATCATATTTCGCTTGCTATAATTGAAATTGAACTTAGATTAGTGTTTTTGGAAATAAAACTAAGATAAAATAAATAAATTGTGTGTGTGTGTTTTTTTTTTCTTAAATGGCGGAAAAATGTTTGGCATTCTCCGGGTATGATCTCCGTATTTCTCTCTCTCGACAAAAATAAAAGAATTAGACTAATTTTTGTTTATTTCAAAATATAAACTAAACAAAAATAATAAAAATAAAACATCGAAAAAGAAAAACTTCAAGGGAACATATAATTATTAACATTGAAAGTAAATTCATAATAGAAAAAGGAGAAGAAACAAATAATTCGGATGATGGTCGCTTCGATTGCTTTTTTTTTTATGTATGAAACTGAGAAAACCAGCAAATCTATTATGGATACAAAAACACAGGATTTACTTTTTCTGCGATATTTCATTCAATTGGCTGTTTGTTGTGTTTATTGGCTTTAATTTCGGTGTGTGCGTTTGCAATTCTATTATGTTTTGTAGCATGTAGCAAAAGAATTTGTAAATTTATTTGATTTTTTTTTTGTATTATCATTTTGTATTTTGTTTTTGTGAGAGTCGGTGAATAACGAATGAAGCGATTATTTGCTTGTGTGTGTGTGTGACTTGTTTAAGTGATTTGGATTGGTTGTTGTTGTTGTTGTTGTTTTTTTATTATTTCTTTTTTTTAGCTTTACTTCCTTAATTCAAATAAATTAAGATGACACATATAATGATCATAAATATTTTGAATCTTTTTTTTTGTAGCAAACAATAATTATAGAAAACGCACAGTTCAACCACTAGCGATCCTCAAAATTGTTTTTTTGCTTTTTTAGAATAAAAACATCACAAAACTAAACAAAAACGCACCAAAAAAAAAAATTGAGAGGCATAAAATGAACTTATGCCGAAAGTGTTTTTTTTTTGTTTCTGTTACGAGAGGAAAAAAAACGATTTTTTTTCTTCAAATCCACTTTTTTTTTTCTGCTGAAAATTATTATAATTTTTTTTTGCTTCCATATACCGCGCTGATGGAATGGATGAAATGATCTGCCAAAACATTTCGACCAATGAGAGAGTGTGTATTTTTTTTTCTAAATAATTCTTGGTATATGTTGAAATTTAATGAAGAAAAAACGTATGCCCTGACTGTAACCCTGAGATAGAGTGAAATATGCACGAAAATGTAGACGTGTGTTTTTGTATGACTGAAACGGTGCGGCGGCGACGGTGGCAATGTTAGTGTTGACGGCAAAAGGAAAGAAAAATGCTACATGGGCTTGTGATATCTGAAATTGGTCATCAAACTTGCGCTATCGATTCGAAAAATCTGCCATTTAATGACAACAGAACACATATGGCTCACGCGCCGCAGGATTGACAGAGAAAAAAGATTTTCTCTTGCCTGAGATAGAGATCCAAACCTTTTCTAACACATCATCTGTCCAAAGGGACAACATTTTAGAAATTAGATCATTTTGATTGCATTTTATCATCGAAACGATATTGAATATGCGAGCACACGCGAGTAAAAAAGAAGCATAGCGTTTGCTTCATTGTACATCTGCACGCATCATCTTCAAAACGGCTTAAAATCTAAAATTCCTCGTTTTCGCTCTGGAAATCAAACGCTTTATTTCATCAACGTTGCTTGATGCGCGCCGCACACGCCGGACTGGCGCGCCCACGGACGCATGCATCAAGTGCATGTTTTCGAAGCGTGCTCATTTCACCTCCATCTCGTTTCATTGGTTTTTTTTGTCTTCCATCACCGCGGTAAATGACAATCTCATAGATTGGATTTAAAATTTTATGCGTTATCAGTTATCTGTATATAAACATGTTCTCTTGCATTTTTTTCTCTGTGTGTGTATTTTTTCATCCCTTTTGTGTGTTTTTGTGTGTATTTGTGTTTTTTTTTGTGCAGAACGCGCAATAGTTTTGTTTTTCCTCATACAGATATATCATTGTTATATACCAATTGTTTGTTTCATTTTTTTTTTAAACGTTATGAACATAATATTTTCTGGATTGTTTTTTTTTCTCTTCTTATCATTCAATTTCTTAGAGTTTAAATTAAATTTAATATGTATAGAGCTTTTGTTGCATTTTTTTCTCAATATGTTTTTGTGTGTGTGTGTGTATTTTTGTTTGTGTTTTTTTTTCTCCTTTTTTATATATTTTTTGTTTCTTTGCTGATAAATGCAGCGAGTTTTCTCGATTCGACTTAGTTCCACACTCGTAAGAATGAGTCCCATGATCCTGTCGCTACTGCCATTCCATTATCAGTAACTCCCAGACAGGACACACGATTATCATGACCAGCTAAAATGCCTGTTGAATTGTTGCGAACGCAGCGGAAAAGGAAAGTGGAGTTGTGATTAACAATTTTGTACATTCGTTTACAAAAAAAAAAAACAATAAAATTGTAAAAATAATGAAGAATCTATGGAAAAAAGCATCAGGGGAATTGGCTTTGTGTGTGACTACGCCCAAATTATGGGTTGGTACACTCAAAACACAGCACATTTTTGCCTTAAACCAAATGAAATTTCGATAAAAAAAAAATGATTTCAAAACAAATTTTCACAAATAGTTGGTTTTTTTAGAATCTTTTTTTAATTGAAAAAAAAAATTGAAAATTGAAAGAATGCTAATTTTTGTTTCTAAATTAGTGTTATTTTGAAAGTATATTTTTTTTTAAATTATCAATCAGTATTCAAAATTGATTTATATAGTTTTTTTTGTTTTCAATTAAATCAACGAGAAAAATGTGCTCGTGTTACATACCTGCACGCTCTGCTTTCATAGTATCCCAAACATTACAGTTAAAGTCATCGTAGCCGGCCAATAAAAGTCGACCACTTTTCGAAAATGCTACCGATGTAATACCGCAAATAATATTATCGTGTGAATACATAGCCAATTCTTGATCGGCTCGAATATCAAATAGACGACAAGTTGCATCATCGGATCCAGTCGCAAAGGCGAAACCGTTCGGGAAAAACTGTGGGTGGGTGTTTGAAAAATTTCAATCATTTTTAAAAACGTTCGCTTATCTCTTTCTCAGAATGTTTTTTGTGAAAATTCATAAGGAAATCACATTGAATTTATTGGAATTTTTCGAACATATTTTTCTCAATGGGTTCTTTGAAAGAGAAGACTCATTGTTTGATAACATAATAATCATTTATGAAAAAAAGGAAGCTCAAACGCGAAATTGAGTTTGATTCGAATGGTCAAGAAATGTGGTGAGTACTCACCGTAACTGCATTGATATCGCTTTCGTGTCCTGGGAAAGTTTGTTTACATTGACCGTCTCGAATGTCCCACAATTTGGCTGATGCATCGCATGCCCCTGAAACAAATGCTCTACAATGTGGTGATAATGATAATGCCATCACATCTCCAGTGTGTCCCATGAATGATGTTACTTGTTGGCCAGTTTCAATGTCCCATAAACCGCAGGACATATCACCGGAACTTGTTACTATCTATAAATCGTATGGGCAAGAAGAAAAGCAACGAAATTCATCGATTAGTATCCAAATTACATGTGACTTAATCATGCTCGGTGGTTATGGAACGCTTCCACTTACCTGATTATCGTCCAAGAATCGACAACATGAGAGATAGCCTGTGTGGCCAGGTAATTCACGTGAAACCCGCACATTACCTTCACGGGTTTTTAAACTATAAATTGAACATATATTGTCGAGGCCACCACAAGCTACGTAACTGCCAGATGGAGCGTACGCACAAGTCATAACCCATGATGAGCGCAACGGAATCGCATGCACCTGTAAACGAAACACAAATACACATACACACACATAAAGCCATTAGTTCGAATCAATGAATGATGATTATTCAGTAGAAAAAAAAAAGGTCAATAAATAAGGATTTTTTTTTCTCAAAAAGGAAAAATAGAAATGAATGAATCGTTTTACGGTGATAAATTTAGCCGGAGGTAAATCGAGTACGTTTATTCAACTGAATGAGAATTGAAATATTCTCGGTCATTTTGGTTGATTCTAATTAAAAACACACAAAAGAATCGTGTTGAAACTCACCTTGTTTGTGGTATGTGAATCCCAAACGATTAATTTTCCATCTTGAGAAGCTGATACTAAATTTCTTGAATCGCTGCCCCAGTGCATAGCATAAATTTTAGCTAAATGTCCGCGTAGTGTGCGTCTCGTGCGCATTTGAATACGGCCAATAGGTTCCAAATTATTAGTGGCCTGTACTAAGCTTGTGTCACATGCGGCCTTTCGGGCATCCTATTACGTTCGATTGGAGGTGCAAATAGAAAAAAAAACACCAAATATCATGAAGCAACGCTCTCTTCGTTTGTGCCGTTGTTGTAGTTGTTGTTGTCGTGGTCATTGAGTTAAATTCAGCCGCAATTGGATGGACGGTGGGCACAATTAGCCGTTGAATGATTATCAACGGGGAAAAATAATGTCATATGTCGCAATTATGCTGCACATGATTTATATCGATAATGCATTCACGCCAACAGCAGCTGCACTCGACCATTTTTACATAGATTTCAAAGCAAATGCCATACATGCATCACCCAAAGTAAGAGTGAGCGGAGAAACAGAAATAATCGCTGAATGGGCGATTTTGCATACATAGGATGATGCAAGTATGACATCGATCAAGTTATAATAATGTGCGCCGTATTGCAGCAATGAATCCCACCATTGGCATAGAATTCGCTCCATGTATTAAATGGAAAGAAATTATGCTAATTCTTTTCATTGAACAGTATAAATATACATATACGAATCGAAGAAGGCACATATTATAACTTGGCAAAAGTAAGAGAGAAATAAATGTGGAAACAAAAAATAACTATAGCCAATTCGGCATGAAATCAGACACTTACGCGAATGGCATTCTTTAGCAATTCGGCTTCTTGTCGTAAACTGTCTATCTCGTTCATTTTGCTCTGGAAAATTAAATAAACAAAACGTTGATTTTTGTTGTGTTCGTTACAATCTTGATAAAAACGATTATCCAATCTCAATGTATCTATTTCTAAATTTCGTTAGATAGTAAGCGAAAAAAGGAACATGGGCAATTCCGAGGGAGGTAGCAGTGAAATTCTGCGATTTATGATGCCACAATTGGTATGGCTGGATCAAATGACGAAAATCATCATGAAAATCGGTTTTGCAACCAGCAATTTCAATCAAATGCCAAACCAAAAAATTTTGACACAAAATCATCGGCGAAAAGAACGCATGAACCGAACGAAAAAGACAGGGAAAAAAATCGCGACTAATTCCGTTGCGAACGAAGAGAAAAAATTAATTGAGTCACACGAAAAATATAGTTTTTTTTTATCGGTTCTTGTTAAAACATACTCAATCTCTCGTTCACTCTCATATATGTATATTCACAACAGAAAGGAAAAAAGAAGAAGTAACGTTTCATATAACACACACGTAAAATTGGGCAGTGGCTTCTACATTTTTCATTCGCTTCTTCTTCTTCTTCTTCTTTTTCGTTCTCACTTCACTCTCCGCTTCAATTCGGTTTATGTGTATACGAGCAGCACACACAGCAGAGCAGCGGCAACGGCAGGAACAGCAGCAACTACTCAACAAATCAATTTAATGAATCTGTTTGGAATATTGTTGAAGCGCCTTTGCCGCACATACAAAAGCCCTCTTTGAAACGGAACGAAGGAAAATATTATACACACACAATTCACACATTCTTTTGGGCCCTCTTTCTCTCTCTCTCTCTCTCTCTCTCTCTCTCTCATACAAACAACAATTTCATTTCGTTTCGTTCTTCTTTCTGTGTTCTTTTTTTCGCTATATTTTTCATTCCATCTTTGGGATATATATATTTTCTACTTCTTTATCGAAACTTATCACAACAATGATTTCTTGACTTGGAATTCGTAACAAAACCAAGAAAAAAAATAGATTAATGTTGTTCAACCAGAACCGAGGTAGATACAGGAGAGAAGAGAAGAAAAAAATGTAGAACATTTTCGATTTCGGAAATTTACCAATTTTTGTTTCTTATCCTAAGCGAATGAATGATTCTGATTTGGTGTATTGGATGAGTTGTTTTTTTTTTCTTTTATCCCGATTCTAGTCGATTTGCCACTCTTTTGGCTTCTTTTCGGATAGAAAAAAAAACTTTACGTTTGAAATTTATTCTCGTGACAACGACGACGACGACGATGATGATGATAATGATTCTATTTGCCTAAATTCAGTAGTAAAAATGGGTTCTTTTTTCCTCGATTCGTAACAAGAGCACTTCAAGAAATTGTATATTTTTTTGTATTTGTTTTTGTCGTTCTTTATTTTGTTCACACTATTTTTGGTTTTGTTCGTGGCTTGCTTCACTTTTCTTCTTCGTTATTATTATTTTTTTCTGTCTGTTTTTGGAACCAAAAAAAAAATCTTCTTTCTTTTCTCCTATTGTAGCTATTCGTTCACATCGGTAGAATTGTTGCACGAAGCGAATGGATCTCTTTCTCTCGCGAAACGATGAACAAAAAAATTATATGTATATACGAAACAATAAAATAGACGAAAACGAAATAAACGAACTGAAATAAACTGAAAACAACACACAGTAAATATCGAATATGTCCAAAACGATCGCTTCGCACTGAACAATTTTAGCAATTTTGCCGTTTGAATCTGTTTTTTTCGTTCTGAATTCGCGATGAGAAAAAATATTTCACACTTCCACCGAATTGGTATCGAAAAATTGCTTGGCAGCCATTTTGAAAATTTGTGTATAACATTGAGTGAGTATGTGCGGACCTTTTTTTTCTATTTGTGTCGAGAGCACGCGCGTGTATGTGTATATTGATGTATTGCAGTACGAATATATGTGTGTCAGGCGGAATGCCTTTGCCTATGGAGCAATAGCAATTAGTAGCAGCAGTAGAGGCACCAACACACCTAACGCACGCACACATTGAGACAATGAGCAGTATAATCGAGCGAGTAGTAGTAGCTTTGGAGTAGAATCTACTCCAGCTGTAGTAGGTCGACGTTTTCGGTTACACTTTGGTTTCACAGTGTTAACAGCGCGCGGTTACGTTCGATTGTGTTGGATGTGCATCTACGTACACTGCTATTGCTCACTCATTATATTTCTATTTCACCGAATGAGCGAAGAGAAGAAAAAAAAATGATAATGGAGAAAAGTCAGTGTATGTGAACAGGCGGCTTCAACGCCGTCGATACACTGAAGAGAAAAAAAAAGAAGGAAGAATTACCCAATTTTCGTTTCTCTTCTCAACTGCCTTCGTTCGTTTTTATTTTGAATATAAACGTTCGCTTTCGGCCAATTTTGTCATTTTTATTTTCCTACAGCGAAAAAGAGAGCGCTATGCCGTTGCGTGAGCAGCATTTTTTAAATGAAAAAATAATATGCTTATCAGCAGTGAACCGCTTTTTAGTTTTAAAAACAGAAATATGTCGATTTTCAACTCTGCATCGGCCTAACCCTGCTCATTAACGCAAACGATGTGTGACTCTGTCTATTTCAAGTGTTCATCGATTTTTTTTTTCGTTTCAAATTCAACTGCCATTTCGATGTCTTCTTCTCGGTAATTTATTTTTCCATTTTTAATTTTTTTTTCCTTCCAATTTGTTGCACTTTTTGTTTTGCCTTGACTTAGAAATTGTTTTCTATGACTTTTGCTCCTGATTTGTCTCAGTTCAACATTTTTTCTCGCTTCTTTTCCTATTTGTGTTTATTTTTTTTGCTAATTTTCTTACATTTATTCCTGTTATGTTGTTGTTTGTTTTCTTGGTACAACCGCAATAAAAAAAAGAGCACAAATATTCAAACAAACCTTCGATGCGATTAGAGAGAGAGAGAGAGACAGCGGTCATGTGCTGGAAAATGGCATGCTCATCATTTGAAACAGTTTCCATTCAACAGTTTAATGAGTGTAATTCTGGCGACAGTTTCACACTCGCAGATGGCAAACACACAAAATACATTATCAACGATGGAAATAAGTGGGGGATTGTTTTTCGTACATTTCAAACATTCCGTGGAGCTGTTGTTGGTTTTCGTTCTTTTCTCTCGTCTGTTTTTGCTATTATTGTTGCTGTGCTTAAAATGAAATACATCACGAATTGACTGCTGAACTTGCATGTCAACATTCGATTTGTCTCTGCTCGTTGAAATTAAAAAAAAAAAAAATCAACCAAATGTGTCAACACTTTCAATGGATAAACAAACATCGGATGACTGTATTGATTATTCTCATTTGGGAGAGTTAGAATAAAGGGTAAGAGAGCGAGCAAGAGCCAATATTAGAAGAACGCATTTGCATTTAGTGGCAAACACGATTTCGATGCGATTTACATGATGTTTTTTTTACGAGAGAAACATCTTTTCTCAACACAGCCGACTATCGATTGAAGCAATATTAACCTTTGTGCAGTAGATGAGCATGCATGAGCTACTGAATGCAGTTTTACCAATCACAATCGACTCCATTTATTGCCTCCAAAACTCCATCAAGCTTCAAATTTGAATTTCGACATTTTTTTCTAATTTGAATTTCGTTAGCGACCAAAATGTCTTCCGAAGTGTCTAAGTTAGACGGCAAGAGAGTCGGTTAGATAGTAATGCCTCAAGTTAAATGAATACCGGCTTGGAAATGTTTCATTGATAATCATTTTAAATGAGTAATTGGAGCCATTTTAACTCCATCTTTGCATATGAACAACGCAAGCCATAGCTCGAGAACGACTCGATTCAATTCTTCATTCTTTTGATCCACAGCATTCGTTTCAATCAAAATCCATTCATATCGGATTGCTCTCATTCACACATCTTCAACAGACATTTCACCCTAACTGCATGACACTTACCGCTTTTGGTAATCAGTGGGTCCGTTCAGAATATGAAATAGAATTAGTGTTGTCACCTGTTTTACAGAGAGTAATTCAACGGCAATTTGTGTCGTCTGAAACGGGATAATTTCGTATATTAATACCAGAGAAAAGTGGTGGAAACGTTAACCACATTTGCCATACCTTACTCCGTTCAGCTAGAGAGTATTGCTGGTTTGTGCTATTGGAATAGCCTAATGATATTGTGTGTTGTTTGTGTGTTTTGCAGCACAGCGTGTTCACTTCAGTCTCGTTGCGCGCGTCCAAAGCCTTTCCGTTCCTTCCTTATTTTTCTCGGTGTTTTTTTCTCGGCTCTTTCCTCTCTGTTCCCAACGTATTTCCCTCTTCGGTAATCGGCGTGTTAATTGTCATGAAATTAGCAATTCATCGTGTCGATTCTTGTCTCACGTGCCTCTCTATCTTGCTCACTCTCTGTGTATATCTTATTCGTTTTTTTTAAATGCTGTTCTACGTGCGCGCAGCAACGAAAAAAAAATGTATATGTAACAACACTTTGGTATTTGAATATCACGATTTGATTATTTGTGTATCAGCGGCCACGAGCAGCATCCAAGAGCAGCGTTTGTCCTCTGTTTTTTTTTCTTTTCTTTTCTTTCTTCGCTTCTTCTCTTCGTCACTCAAATTGTGTACAATTTACATACGTTATTTGTCATTAACATTTGATGTGCGGCGTCACAGTTGGAATCGGCTTGAAATGAATCCTCTGTATCAACTGCTGCTGGTTTTGCTGCCCGTTACGTTGTTATTTATGAAATCCAGATACGATACGTCGTTCGTCGGGTCGAATGATTGACTCACAAATAAAAACACAATGTTTTATGCTCCAACGTCAACAAATATGGCCAGTCAATCGCTGTTCGATTGGTTCACGTTTTGTATAAACATATGAAAATTAAAAAGAAATCACTGCAAATGAAAAACACAGACAAAATTTTTGTTGCATTAGTTGGAATATTGGGTTATTGTTTGGAAATTCGACAATTTTTTTTTCTCGTCAATTTGTTTATCGGCTTTGTTTACAGTTTGAATTGTTTTTTTTTTCTTCCTTTGAAATGATAACAATTTTCTGCTAAATGATAACCATTCTTGTAATCACAGATTTTTTTTTCGTTCAAATTGCAAATGAATTGGTTTCACACAGACAGGCGACAATTTCGTGACAGTTCCTTCAATAATTTTTCTCTTATGAATACAGTCATTCTTTCTTTGGATATTTATTCACGTACACATATTTGCCGAATGGGTTTTATCATCGTTTCGCTTTCATTGGCAATGATTAAGTGAAAACAAGAAGGCAAAGAAGTGTTCGGTGTCTGATATTTAACACTTTGAAGATGACACACGAAGCAGCAAGTGCAACCAAAACACAAAACAATATCGGCCGAATCGAGTTAGAGTATATAGCGTGATTGTGGCGATCTTCTCGACTTTTGCAAAGCACTAAAAAAAGTAATATCCTATATAGATATACATATATATGCCATATTAAATACCAATGGAAACTACATTGCTTTGCATGTTAGTGGCCAAGCAAGTGAACACGAGAGAGAGAGAGAGAACGAGTAGCTCACATGCGCATTTTTACTACGCTATGGTTTATGGCGTACCATTACAAGAATGCGAAAAATATGTCAATAGATTCCAGAGAGTGAGAGCGAGGAAGAACACAGAAATATTATAACCAAGAATATACACCGAGATGAACGAAAAAAAAACACCCCGGTTGTTCGATACACACGGAGACACACATACACACACACACATCGAGGAGTGCGCGTTATCAATGTATATGATATGGGCGAATACAAAAATCCGATGATTGCATGCTCACACTCTTACTCATACTCGTACACACATACTGATTCACACTCTATGCCGTCATACTGAGCATGTCGTAGAATCTTTTTGTCTCTCTTTCTCTGTCTCTTCCTCGCTCACCATATAATCAAATTAAATGAAGTAATTTTGGATATGAAACAAAAAGAGTGTGTGTGAAGTAGATTTTTTTTTTGCATTCAAGAGACATTTCCTATTGCACTTGCTCCTACTGTAATCATGAACGAATTAATGAACTGGACAAGCGTTGTTAAGTTGAATGAACGACAACGATCCAAGACATGCCATTTTTTTTACACATTTTTCGTTTTCATTTCGACTTCATTTATCCATATCAGACGGCTTCATTTAAACAACGATTTTTCCAAACTGAATCGCTTCCTTATGCACGTTTACATCGATTTTTTATTTTTCTTCGCGTTTTTGTTGTTGTTGAGTGTCTATCGGCTAAAATCATTAACATATTTTTTTTCTACTTTTTTCGATGAATATCAGAGTCGGAAAAAAGGAAAAATAATTGAAAATTCCGTCAATTCATAATTTATTGATTATAAGTTGTGGTATTGCCACAGCGCACAAAAAACAGCGACACTAGATATAGATGTGTTTCACTCGCTCTCTCTCTCTCTCTCTCTACCTATCTCACTCACTCTCCTTCGCTTCGTCCATATCAAGGTGTGTATCGATATGAACATTCTATGGCTCTGTCATCCTCAAAATATTGTACGAGCAACTTGAATTGCACCAAAGTAAAGGAGAAGAGGGAAAAAAAATGAAGCGAACGACAACCAACAATTTTTTTCTTCTTTTCACGACAAAAACACCAACTGTATCAACAACCACCAAATCACCAAATTCATTTGCAAATTGAAACGTTTTTTTTTCTCGTCTTGTTTTTCATTACTATTTTAATGTATAAATGGATAAAAATAATTCCGATTCGCTTACAACTGTAAAAAATAATTTATTCGACACAGAACACACAAATAACACTTCCTCACTGCTGAATCGATGAAAGATTACACATACACTGCAAACGCGAAAGAGAGATATTCTTGATTCATAATTGACGCAATTCCTAATATCCCATTGAATGGCGCTACCGTCGAAAGTTCTATGTTTCCGCCATGTTTTTTTATTCGTCTCTTTTACGAATGTTATACATTCGATCAAACTTCAAGCGAAATGGTTGTTCGGCTGCTCCGAAATGGCCAGAGATGGCGCTGGTTTTTTTGCATCGAGTTTTCCTGATTTCTTAGGCTAGAAAGCACGGTATTTTTGAAAATTGACGTCATTTTGAATGAAATTTATCAACATTGTACATCGTCTAAATGTTATGATGTATGTGTACAGTGTACATTCCCACAATTGTCATTTGATATAGAAAACAGCTCAAACATTCTGAATGAAAATTTCTTTGAAAATGTTCAAACTCCAAATACTAAAACGAATCACTGCTTTTTGTTGTTATCAAGAAGCATTTGTTTACCATGAATGTGCCAATGTACCGCATTGAACGAAGACCACGAAACAATTGTCCGATACGCAGAAAACGGCCTATCTTATATTTGTGGTGATGGAAACCCTACGCCAAGATTTTACTACTGTGGCCATGGATCGTCCAATATATTCGGATGCAATCGTTCCGGTGGATGTCGAAATCAAGACGCAAGCCGAAAAATGGCAATCAAATTGTTTAAAATACATTATGGCATCGAATTTACGGCGTATGATTGACCGGATTTTTTGTCGAAAATCCTAGTAATATCATGTGTTATCTGGAATTCTCCGAATGTTGTTAAGTATAAAGTTGGTATTATCTTTAAAAGCCTCTAATTTTCACACTTTTTTCGAACACCGTTCAATCAAATCACTTTAAGACCAATTTCAATCCAGTATTGTCGATTTTTCAGAATAAAATTTCTTTAATTTAAAATTTTCTATCAACAAATACATGATGATTTTCACAATTATAATAAAAACATGTGTGATGATTTTCACTGCACATGCAAATACAGACTTGATTTTAGAGCTCGTCTTTGAATAATATTCAGCCGTTAGGAATTTCGATTTCATTTGTTTTCATTTATTTTCGTTTCTGTTCAACGTTTCGAACGATATCGATATGCAAGTGTAACAAATGCGAATTTTATGATTGAACAAACTCATTTCGATGTGGTATTTTTAAGTTCAGGTAAACGTATTTCCGAACCATTTCAGTTTTGGTCATTTATTAGTAATTTCAATGAGTGTTACCTCATTCTTGTTCTATTGAATGTTCGTAAGAAGACGTATGCATACATCACTGATTTGCTATGATGGAACGACAACATTCCAAGTATTTGTGACCAATATTTCCATGCTGTAATGAAAGGCAACCGTGCCCATTATTTTATCGTAATGGTCATTGTGGCAGCGAATCTAGCAATTTCCACATAATATCCTAAATGTAAGTTTCATTTGATTCCTTATCACCTTTATTAATAGCCATGATTTTCAATTGTGTTTCATTTGTTTTTGAAAATTAAATCTAGAAACTACGAATAGTGTGTGCATCAACATTCGCGATATTTACCAACATTTTTCGGTTAATAATGCATTTTCTATGGCAATTTGTAAAATTTTTCAATTCAAAATGCACATATGCAATAACCATAGCCAACCTAATTCATAATAAATGGATAAAGGATCGTTTTCCTAGGCGGCCGATTTGGTCGCCGATTCAAAAAGACCATTCGAAATTTTGGCTTTAACTTTTGAACCACTGAACGGATTTTAACAAAATTTATATATTTTTGTTGGTGTAATCTTCCTCCTTCTAAAAATGTATATTTTGTTAAAATCCATCATGTGGTTCGGCAAATATAGCAAAAGAGCTGAAAATCGGTCAAGTTCGGCCGCCGATTTTCCGCCAATTCAAGCATTTTTGAAGTATTTGTAAAACGAGTTGCGGTGTAGTCACAGCATCCAGTACATCCAAGACAAATATTCAATAAAAAATTGATCAAAAAGAGCATTCTGTGCACTATTTTAATTGCTATAGTTATAATATAAATCAAATGAATGCCCAACATAAAAGTCGGAAATGTTGTTTTGCAATGTGCTCATATCAATTAATATTTTCGTGCAGTTTTAGGCAAAAACCGTATGCAATAATTTAATGTTGAGTTTAGAAGAAAATAATAACAAACCAAATAGTGAAGAATCTTTATATTCATTTCTTATGGGAAATATATTTCATTTCAATCCGATTTTATGAACTACTATGGTTGACGTTCAAAATTTTCCGCAAAAATGTGGACAAATGTTTCAATCACCGAAATTGAAGCAAAAAATCAAGAAATAATCATTTCTCATTATAATAAGCCAATCTCTCAAGCCTCAAACTTGCGATGAAAAAACAATGGCTTTATGAATTGATACGAGTCCAAATTCTATTGTCAAATATTATCGTCGATTCAATTATGACATTTCCATAGGCAACCGTTAGAGAGAGAGAGAGAGAGAGAGAGAGAGAGAGCAGCGACAGCAACTCTGGTGTTTGCTCTTTTGGACGAAGAGCGAGCGCAAGCAGTAAAGCATAATATAAACAAAAAAATGAAATGGAGAACGATCTGTCACGATGCGATTCACTCGCATCTACAGGAGAAAGATTCACATTTCGTTGGCGTCATTCGTTGAAAATACAGTATAGTCTTTCTTGATGTTGAGATGAATTCAGTAAAATCCATAAAAAGGTTATTTTCATCAATCTCAATCATTATTTCTATTGTCCTCCTTGTAAAAGTATTGAGTTCACTCTACTTTGGCGTTTAAAAAGTACGTTTGAAGTGATGTTACAAAAAAAAAGCCCAATCAATTGTATGGTGTAATCAAATACATAGAAACGTGAGTTTTCAAACTACATGCGGATATAAAGCTAGAATTTTAATGTCATTGATTTTTTGTATCGCATTTCAGAAATATTAATAAAAATAAGGGAAGAAATTGGCCAACACAGACAACAACAGTTGGTTGACATTCCATCGGAGCAAAACACAAAGCGGTGCATTTATTTTTGTAAGTACGAAAAATTGTTGATCATCTTGATGTGACTCACAATAGCAACCGCTCCAAAAGTTACATTAGAAATCGATGAAGTAGCCGATACGCTTTTCAACAGATCCGAAACGGTGCTAAAAATTCGGCACATTGAAATGCCATCACAAGTCGAATCATTTTCAAGATCAACGCCAGCACCGTCAGATTCTGGTCAAAGCGATGATACAAAATGTTCATTGTGCAAGCGAACATTTGAGAGCAAATGGCTTCGAGACTGGCACATCAAGCGAATGCACGATGAATCAGACATCAGTTGCAGCACTTGTGATGCAACATTCGTCACGGTTGACTCTTACAACGAACATTGCATCATTCAACACCCGGCCAAAATTCCACGTATTGAGAGTCCAAAGCAAACGTTAAAATATGAACGCTCACCATCGCTGAAAATCGATCGATTGACATTGTCCCAAGAAAACGACCTGCTGCGCATTAAAATCAAATTTTTGAAGAAGAAATTGGAAAAAGCCGAAAAACCACATCGCAACGAATCGAAATCACTCGAAACGAAACAGGACCAACGTTTCAAAGAACAATTTAAAGGTTTGTTGTGGAAAAAAACGTGTTTTTTATTCGCATAAGAAAAGCCATAAACACTTGTGTATTATTTATTCAGAGAAAGACGACTCATTGAAGGAGAAAGATTGTGCTCTGGCGGCAATGCAACAACAACTCATGATGCTTGAATCAACAAATACCAAACTTATGCAAGAACTCCAGAATGAACGCTTGCGAGCGGGAATGTTCTATGAAACACTGAAGGCTGCATGCGGCTGTGATCGAAATGGTTCAACGAATGCGGATTTATGATTGCATCGAAAAGCCCTTTGCTTACATAACAGCCTGGACAATGATTATTTAGTTCAATTTCATGACATTAGATTTAAGTAAAATGACGCACAGAACTCGTTTTTGCCGTTCATTCTCACACCTTTGAATTTATTATCATGTGTTTTTAGCGCTGAGTGTTCCTCATTAAAATAAAATTGTTTTCTTATGAAAAGCAGTCTTTCATCAGTCAAGTTTGATTTCTTTATCACACAACGGAATTTCATTTTGGTTATTTTTATTAAATTTGAGCCGTCGTTTTGGTTGATTTTGATTAGTCAAAACGTGCCTATGTTCTAAATTTGAGTGGTTTCAAACATCTCTCTCTCTCTCTCTCTCTCTCTCTCTCTCGCGAAAATAACTGAAATCGAGTGAGTATAAACAGCGTCGTGATCACCTACATCAACAAGAATCGTGTAAAAAGAATATCAGCAATAACATGTAGTACTATCGTTATAGTAGACGACATCAAATGTTAGTGTATCATCTCACACTTGATTTATGCACAGTGATACAGATGAATTGATAGTCGGTTGGGCTTTTATGTTATTGTAACTCTAAAATAAACATAAATCGATAAATATTTATCTGTGTCGTACATTTTGATTGTTTTCGATCTAACAAAATTGAGGAAATGTTGTGCATTTCAAAAGTGAGTCACGTAAAAATACTTCAATAATCAAAATACGGTTTGAAAAAAAACCGTTGTGTATGTTAAAAAAAGATTTTTGTCGTATATCTTTTATGCAAGCTGTTTATATGAAGAAAAGAAGCATTTTAAGTGTAAATTGATATTGATTTGATAACAGTTGTATGGTGGTTGAATGATAAGGGCTCTATTTTTGTTTTAACTACATCTATTCTACAGATTATTTGAGTTGCTATAATCGCTACACTTTATTTCGATGCGGGTTTGAAGGTGTGATGCTTGTTGTAAAACAAGCAACGGTGAATGTTGAAAAAGATTCTTTATTCGGAAAATGGTAGAAAATACATCAAAATTGTAATATCAGTATAGATTAAAAAGATAAAGAGAAATAAAACACAACTTATTTTCAAGCATTTAGTTTATTTTATACAAATTTGATTTCAATTTAGAAATTAAATTCAATTCTTTTGTTATTTCGAACTTCAAACGCGTTTGTTTGTTTCTCGAGCAGCACTAGTTTGTCAGATGGAAATAGGAAACTCAATACGATGCTCACATTCTGAAAAATGCATTAAATAAGCATTTTCTATTGGCCTGTTCGATGCGTTTGATTTCAATTAAATCGTGATTGGCGTATAAGTTTATTGGTGCCATTTTTGTTTCCAAGTAAGCAGCTTCTGGTAAATATGGTGACTTTGGATGCTCCGGCCAACTTTTTACGTTCCCCGTTCAATGTTGGTAGATCAATATAAAATTCAATCGTTTTGTGAAAAAAAGCGATGCTGAGTTCCTTCAATTTTGGCAATCGTCGAATGAATGGAAGGATTTGATCTATTCTTGATGCTTCATCCAAATGAACTCGTTTTAGATTTGGAAAAGACACTGTCATTGCTTCTAAGTCAACGTTTTCCATATTTAAACTAAAAATACTCAGTTCTTTCAGGCTAATGATCATTGGTAGAACTAAATTGTGCATCAATTCTGATGGACAACATTTCAAGACCAAGAAATTTTCCGATTTGATCAACTTGACGTGATGAATTAGTATCAATACATTCCAATCGCTTATAAAATCCATTATCATAAAGTCTTTCCAATAATGTGCAAATGTCATCCAGATTGTGATAATCTTTTGTACTAATGAAAATATTCAAAACATTCAATTTCATTTTTGAATTGATGAATATGTCGCTGTTCTCCAGAAGGAACCAGTATTTGGTTTCGAAACTTTGAAGATGTGTATTTTTCTGTAGGAAAATGTCAAAATGTCGACTAGAAATGCGAGTGGGATCGACGAGTGTTAAATGCTCAAGTTTTGGATATTCGTGACACATCCAATCACTTGTCAGTAATTCCATGCTATCAACGGGAAGAGTCTTCAAATTTGGACAAAACTTTAGGAAATCTGCGTCAAATCTAGATTTAGAACATAAAAACCAAATCGTTTCGACTTTATCCAGTTTTCCTTTAATGCATTTTATCATGGCTTTAGTCAATTTAACTGAATCAAAATAAATTTCTCGAAGTGAATCACAATTGATTGTTCCGATGAACTGGAAATCTTTCTTTTTGGATAAGTGCAATTGTACACTCTGAACATATGGAATGAATCCATTTAATTCCCTATAATCGTGATAAATTTTTTGATCTCTGCATTCAATTTTTGCCATTGGAAAATTCTCTTGGAAATAGAGACCAGTAAGTCGATGCATACGTTTGCATGTTTGGCTGAGTGAATCCAGATCGTGGACTGAAAGCCACTCGAACAGATCGTCACAGCAAATGGCGTTTAGCTTGAAAATGGCTGGCGGCGACTCTTCGTTTTGCGCATCCATAGCCACTGCAATTCCATTCACATCCACGTCGTTTGGCTTCTGACGTTTCGATTTTTTGTTGATTTCTTTACCACTTTTACGCTTGCTCATCCTGCCAGTCGTCAATTTAAATTGGTTCATATTTTTTGAAATCTCTTCTATGTTTATATTTCTTTTTCTTTTCCAAACACTTATTTGCACTTGTTAACTTAGATTTTGCATTGAGTTAAAAAAATTCAAGTGTTATCTAATGAAAAAAAGATTGCAAAAACGAAACTAAATTGGCAATTTATAGAGAGCAAATTGTATGTTACACCTTTCACTTCATGAACGATACTAACGCTAACGAACATATTCAGGGGCATTTTTGTAATAAGCATTAAAACACCATGAATTTATACTTATAATTTAGTTGCTTTATTTAGTGTTTAAGTTTACGTGTGCTTATTAGTACAGCTGATGGTCAACTGACGTCTACCGCCAAACTGTCAAACCAATATTCAGAACTGTCACATTAAGTCTTATTCACATATTACACGCTTTTTTCTTTTAAAAATGTTTAAATTATTGACAATAATTATTTGGACCAGGCTACCACTTATGACTGTTACAATTTTTACCAGCCATATCTTTGCGGCGGTCTTACAGAACGACCACTACGCGTTTTATATTCTTGTTGAACATTAGGAGCCCGAATGTCCGGCTGAGCGCTTACTTCACTATCACTTCCCGAGCTTGCTTCTGAATTTTCACCTTCAGCAGTGTCATATTCCGATGAAGAATTATTTCCCAAATTTACTGAAAGATCCAATTCATCTGCACTCACATTATTTGCGGGAGTGTCAATTATTCGACTATCGTTAGCATCATCATTATTAACTGTTTCTTGTACAGGATGCATAATTTGAATCTCTGGCAAATTATTTGATTGACCCGATTTTACATTTTCCTCAAACATCAAATCACTAGCACTAAAATCTTCATTTTTAGTTTTTGCTATGAATCTACGATTACGTCTAAAATGATTTTCAAACGAGTCCTTAATGATATATGAGCGCTCATTTACTATTCCTACTATCTTTCCATAATGCCACTCCTTTCCATTCTTCTTAAAAATCACCAAGTCTCCCAACTTTAACGATGGCAACGACTTTACGTTTCGATCATAGTAATATTTTTGCTTTTTTTTTTTATTTTTGATTTTTTCTTGAATAACACCCTCATCCACGTTGTTTCTGATAAGCAATTGTTCCGACACTGGCAACCTTGTTTTGACCAATCGGCTGAAAAATAGTTCCGATGGAGTAAGTTGCATGCCTGCCACCGGTGTGGTATTATATTCCAATATTCTGTATTGATATTGGTTCACCTCGTTTGCCTCATAGCACCGCTTCAAAATGTTTTTTGCAATTGCTACTCCCTTTTCGGCTAAACCGTTACTTTGTGGATATCTGGGACTTGAATATTTAAATTGAACATTGAAGTTCCGTGAAAATTTTTCAAACTCTGCTGAGTTGAATGGAACATTATCACTTTTGATTATCGATGGGTAACCAATTTTATTGAATATCGAGCAGAAGATGTCGATAATATGTGCTGAGGTCTTATTATTTACTTTGGTTGCCACTAAATAATTTGAATACGCATCAAAAATTGAAATGTAATCACGACCAGCATATTCAAATAAGTCCACCGATACAATGTGATATGGATATTTTGGATTAATTTCTTGCATCAATGGCTCTTTTTGATTATTCCGTTTGAATTTTTCACAAATATCACATGACGCAATCATTTCCCTGATTTGTGTGCTCATTCCAGGCCAGAAATACAACATTCTTGCCCTCGAAAGTGTTTTCTCGATTCCCAGATGTGGTTCATGTAACCACTTTGCCATTTTGCTTCGCAATTCTGTTGGAATTACCAATCTGTGATTTCGAAATAATAGTCCATTTTCAAAATGCAATTCAGATTTTAATTTATGAAAAACCCGACCAAAATCATTCAATGACCGGTAATCGGGCCATCCATTTCTTACGTATTCACAAATGCATCTGAGATCTTTATCCGATTCTAATATTTGCTTATAGTGATCATAATTATCCCTTGACACACAAACAGATTTCGTGACGGCATGAATGACCCCATTCAATTCTTTTTCCTCACCACTTGTATCCAATTGTGCACGAGACAAACAGTCGGCCAATAACATGTGTTTGCCCGGCTTATAAACAATCTCCAAACCCGGATATCTAAGCAATCTCATGAACATACCCTGTAATCTTGGTGTGACACCATCAATATCACGCAAATTTAATGTTTCCAGCGGCTTATGATCACTTTCCACAATGAATCTATGTCCATAGACAAAATTATCGAATCGTTCACATGCAAACACCACCGCTAGAAGTTCCTTTTCAATTTGTGCCCATCTTTGTTCAGATTTGCTCAGAGTTCTGGAAGCAAATGCAACCGGATGCTCTTCTTGCAGTAAACCCGATCCAAGTCCATCTTTCGATGCATCGGTTTGAATGACGATTGCTTTTTCTGGGTCAAAAGGCTTTAGAACCGGATCAGATGTAATTATTTTCTTAATGATCTCAAGCTCAGCTTCGTGTTTTTTATTCCACTCAAATGGAGTATCTTTTGTTGATAACAAACGTAGCTCTGCTGTCAGCTTGGACAGAGTTGGAATGAATTTTGCCAAGTATTTACATAGGCCCAATAAGCGACTAACACCATGCTTATCGGTCGGTTTTTTCATTTTAAGTATCGCCTCAATATGCTTTTTTGCCGGTTTTATTTTACCCTCTGATAGAATGAATCCCATGAATTTTACCTCCGACCGACGATACTGAATTTTATCCCGATTAAATTTAACATTATTCAAGCGTGCACGCTCAAGAACAATGTTCAATATTCTGTCATGTTCTTCCTCACTAGAAGCTACTATTCCAATGTCATCAAAGTACACAAAGACCCCAGGTATGTCCGCAAAAATCTGGACCATACGTCTTTGGAAAATTTCCGGTGAAATATTCAGACCAAACGCAAGTCTGTTGAATTTATACCGACCAAAAGGTGTCATAAATGTAGTCAGTTCCGAACTCTTTTCGTCTAACTCCAATTGCCAAAATCCATTTGAGCAATCCAAAACTGTAAATATTTTTTTATTAGCCAATTCCGAGGTTAAATCATCGATGGTGGGAATCAAATAATGTTCGCGTTTAAGGCACTTATTGAGTGGTTTTGGATCCAAACAAATGCGTAAGTCGCCATTGGACTTCTCTACAACCTGCAAGTTGTTTACCCAATCAGTTGGATAAGATATCGGAGAAATGATACCCGATTCTACCATTTCATCGAGTTTTGGCTTGAGTTTTTTAACGATTGTGTCGGGAAAACGCTTTTTATAATGCATGACCGGTTTAGCATCGTCTTGTAAATGTATTGTGACTTTTCCCGGAATTTTTCCAAGTCCAGTGAAAACATCATTATTCTCACTTACAAACCTTTCTTCCGCGTTTGAACATTTGATCGAATCAACATTTACTGCCTCAATCAATCCAAACTCAATGCAAGTTTCAAGTCCCAGCATCGGTTCAAACGTGTCATCCACAACAATGAATTCTGTTATTCTTTCAATATTTAATTTACAATCCCACATTTTAATTTCGGCAATACCATAAATCTTAATTTTATTGTTACTATAATCGAATACAGGAAAGTCATTTTGCTCGTGTTTCATTTTAATTTTCATTTTCTTGATGATTCTCAATGGAATGCAATTGACATCTGCTCCTGAATCGACTTTGAATTTTACTATCCTATTCCCTATTCGGTATGCCTTGGTCCATCGCTTTCTTTTCAGTCCGATTGAATTTATTCTAAAAATGTAATTTTTAACACTAAGAATTGTTTCCAATTTTCGACGTCCATTCACTGAATTACCTGACGATGAAACATCGTTCCAACGGAGACTGTCAACAGCTGACTTGTCATTCGATTTCGACTGAGATCTACCCGATGATGAAACTTCCGATTTCTTTCCTTTGCTTCGACACATTCGGCGAAAATGAGAGCTCTTATGCTCTCTGTCCCAATCGCCACCACAGTTGAAGCACGTACGTTTCTTGCCCATGTTGATTGCATCAACTGAATCGGTGTCTGTGTTTTCCGATAGGGCTATTGCCGCAATTGACTGTTTCGATGCCAAAATGCCTTTGTGAACATTTGCTGATTCAAACGTTTTGCATATGTCCACCACACGATCCAATGTTTCATCACGACCATCGAGTAATTTCAACTGGAGTTTCTTGTCATACACTCCAGTGATTATGCGATCACGCAGCATCCGACTTTCGTACGACAATCCACATGTGCAATTGAATTCACAGCGTTCGATTTGTGCACGAAGTTCCGTTAAAAATTCGCTGAACGGCTGACGTTCCTTTTGCACCATGTTGTTAAATTTGTACGATTCCATCGTCACATTCTTTTGCGGCAAACAGTGATTATCAAACGCTGTCAACACTTCATTCAATGTTCGCTGTGTAGTTTCGTCCCGTGTTGTTGCCGCTGCAGAAGCTGTTGCTGGGACAGCAACAGTTTTGGTGACTGTGCCAAGTAATGAATTTTGCGACCCATCGTTCGGAAACAGAGTGTTGTAAATGTTGGCACCTTTCGTTCCAATCAACCAAAGAAAAATTGCGATTTTTGTTGGTTCTGTTTGGTTGTTTTTGTTGTTGGCGATCATGTACACCAAAAAATCACGTTTCCAATTCTTCCAGTCCACTGACAAATTTGAGCAATCAAGCTCTCTTAGATCCCTTCGTGTGTCAGTCATTTTGCTTAATTTCAATGGTGCCGACTTCAACCCATGAAATAATATCTAAATTGTAATTTTCACGCCTCAAATTAGCCCGATGATTACTTTTTTCTGTCCGATGATTCGATTTTGTTGATGATTTTTCCCGATGAAATCGCCCTGGTTTCACGGCGATGAATGCGTTTCACACAAACACGTTGCAATCCAATGCTCCGATGATGAAAATTCCAAATTTCTACTTTATTTTGGCTGAGATCTAGTTTTTTTTTTTATTGTTTTATTTTTACTCAGTTTTAATTTCGAGATCTCAATTATACTTCTGACACCATGTAATAAGCATTAAAACACCATGAATTTATACTTATAAATTAGTTGCTTTATTTAGTGTTTAAGTTTACGTGTGCTTATTAGTACGGCTGATGGTCAACTGACGTCTACCGCCAAACTGTCAAACCAATATTCAGAACTGTCACATTAAGTCTTATTCACATATTACAATTTTATATCATTTTTCAGACAAAGCAGCGATTAGCGTAGCATGAGGATTAGATTTTTCAGCCGAAACAGTTAGAAGTCACCGCCTGCTAGTCACTGGTACGTTAGGTTATTTGAAGTTAATCCAGATAACGGAATTCAATATTTGGACCAGGTTCGATGCCTAACTGCACTGAATACATTTGTGTGGAACGTCATAATATTCATATAAGGGATACCTGAAATTTCCACTAAAATGTTTCTGAAACATGCTTAGATTATGTGTTCTGGTGCATGGTGAAAAAACGAGATACCGAAGACTTTATGGCAATAGATCTGCTCACATAGTACTTAGGATACTCACATAGGACTTGGAGTCATCTTTCTCCGAAAAAAGATTAAAACTGTGTGTTACTTTTCCTTATTGCACTCACTTTTACCGTACTTTGATCTACAGTTGATCTCGTGTGATAGGTTTTATGCGAAGCTTGAGACAGCTCTCAGCTTCACAAGAACTAGTGTCTCAAAATAGTTCTTTAATCGTTGACTCATCTAAATCATGGTTCGATTATTACTAGAGAAAAATGATCGTGCAAGTTGACTAAGAGACCTCGCTACTCTCTGATCAAGTATCAGTTTCAATATGCCATTTAAATGTGCGCAAAACTCTCATAGTGCGTGTTTGATGCACACACATTTGGAAAGAAGAAACGAAAGGCATGAAAGGAAGAAAAGAACATCAATGTGTCGCTGAAATATTTAATCAATGCATTTAAAAGAGTGAGACGAAAAAACAGAACACAGTTTCATTGCCAGTGTGTGTATCGCTTCTCCCAATCAATTAACTCGCTTGCTGTCACTAAATATACTGTGCAGCAATTTAGTGGGTGAGTCCCAATGCGCTTAACTATATTGAATCAATCGCAGAATTGCCAACCAATTGTCAAATCGATAACGAGTGAACCGCGGGCATGAATAAATTGTAGTTTTATTTTAAAAATGTCGAATTTTATCTGTAAAAACACTTGCATAATATCAAAAGAAGGATAAAATATCTGAAACTTTTTCCAAAACAAAGCTACACCATTTGAAATTGGTCCTGCTGCGTTCTCAACTCTGCTGCGTCAAAAGGTCTGTGAATATTTATTTTTTTGATAAATTGGTTTTATTAATCAAAAAATGATTTCAGATGAAATTGTCCAAACAATAAAATATTAACCAGAACCGTGCGAAAAGATATTAGCATCACCAAAGGGAGATGGCGACATAGAAAACATTTAACTTATGACTTCTGTCAAAAAATGCTCTTTTCCTTCAGGTTCTTTTACTAAAACGTGTTTTTTTCTTATTAAAACATAATGATTGGCATGTTTACATCATTTCCATCAATGTGCGATTGGATGGCGGTCATAAGTTCTCGGATGGACGGACATTTGAGCGTATATTCTTTGCGGTGATTATCCGTCAGTCTTGGAATTAATGACCGTCGCCGC